GTGTCATCCGCAAACTTAATAAAGAGGTTGGAGTTGTGTGACGGTGTGCAGTCGTGTGTCAGCAGAGTGAAGAGGAGGGGGCTCAGCACACATCCTTGGGGGGCCCCAGTGTTCAGTGTGATATTGCTGGATGTGTTACTGCCGACCTGTACTGCCTGAGGTCTCCCAGTCAGGAAGTCCAACAGCCAGTTGTACAGCGAAGTGTTGAGCCCCAGCTGGACCAGTTTGTGAATGTGCTGTTGAGGGATGATTGTGTTGAATGCTGAACTGAAGTCTATGAACAGCATTCTAACATATGAGTCTTTTTTGTCCAGATGTGTGAGTGCTGAGTGGAGGGTAGTGGCGATGGCATCATCGGTCGAGCGGTTGGACTGATAAGCAAACTGGAAGGGGTCCAGGGAGTGGGGGAGGACAGACTTGATGTGGTGCATGACTAGCCGTTCAAAGCACTTCATGAGGATGGGGGTAAGTGCAACTGGACGGTAGTCATTGAAGCAGGATGGAGACGGCTTCTTCGGGACTGGAATGATGTGGTAGCTTTGAAGCATGTGGGGACAACAGCCTGACTTAGTGAGATGTTGAAAATGTCTGTGAAGACATCAGTGAGTTCCACTGCACAGTCTCTCAGTACACGCCCAGGAATGTTGTCAGGACCCGGAGCTTTGCGTGCGTTGATCCTGCTGAGGGATCTCCTCACGCTGTCCGGGGACAGCGTCATCACCTGGTCGCCGGGAGGAGGTGGAGTCTTCTGTGCAGTGGTGCTGTTTTGTGCCTCAAAGCGAGCGAAGAAGACGTTCAGCTCGTTCAGCAGGGAGATGGTGCTGTCACAGGTGCGTGGTGGGGGCTTGTAGTCCGTAATGGTCTTTATCCCCTGCCACAGGCTCCGAGTGTCTCTGCTGTCGCTGAAACGATGGGCTATCCTCCTGGAGTACTGTCTTTTTGCCTCTCTGATGCCGCGGGAAAGGTTGGCCCTAGCTGTTTTCAGGCCCACCTCATCTCCAGCTCTGAAGGCAGCGTTCTGTGTCTTCAGGAGTCTGTAGACCTCCCCTGCCATCCACGGCTTCTTGTTGGCCCGGACAGTGATGGTCTTTGTGTCCGTTACATCATCAATGCACTTGGTGATGTAAGCAGTGACAGTCTTTGTGTACTCCTGGAGGTCTGTGGTGTTATTGTATGTGGCAGCCTGCTTAAACATATTCCAGTCAGTGGTGTTAAAACAGTCTTGAAGAGCCTCTGACGACCCTTCCGGCCACACTTGTATCTGTTTGTGAACTGGTTTGGCAACTTTAACGAGCGGTCTGTATGCAGGCATTAGCATGATAGTGATGTGGTCTGAGGTGCCAAGATAGGGGAGGGGTAGGGCCTTGTAAGCTCCTCTCTGGGTGGTGTAAACAAAGTCTAGAGTGTTGTTTCCCCGTGTTGGAAAGTCTATGTGTTGGTTTATCTTTGGGAACACTCTTTAGGTCTGCATGATTGAAATCACCAGCCAAGATGAGAAAAGCATCTGGGTGGGCTGTCTGCTGCTCACTGATGTGCTGGTACAGTTCATTCAGTGCCTCACTCCTGTTGTTGTTGTTGGAGCTGGGAGGGATGTATACAGCAACGAGCAGTATGGCTGTATATTCCCTCGGTAGATAGAACGGCCGGCACTTAATAATCATAAACTCCACCAGGGGTGAGCAGTGTTTGCAGACCACAACAGCATCGCGGCCTGGGGACAGCGTCATCACCTGGTCGCCGGGAGGAGGTGGAGTCTTTTGTGCAGTGGTGCTGTTTTGTGCCTCAAAGCGAGCGAAGAATGTGTTCAGCTCATTCAGCAGGGAGATGGTGCTGTCACAGGTCCGCGGTGGGGGCTTGTAGTCCATAATGGTCTGTATCCCCTTGTAAGCTCCTCTCTGGGTGGTGTAAACAAAGTCTAGAGTGTTGTTTCCCCGTGTTGGAAAGTCTATGTGTTGGTGTATTTTTGGGAACACACTCTTTAAGTCTGCGTGGTTGAAATCCCCAGCTAAGATTAGAAAAGCATCGGGGTGGGCTGTCTGCTGCTCACTGATGTGCTGGTACAGTTCATTTAGTGCCTCGCTCCTGTTGCTGTTGTTGGAGCTGGGAGGGATGTATACAGCAACGAGCAGTATGGCTGTATAGTCCCTCGGTAGATAGAACGGCTGGCACATAATAATCATAAACTCCACCAGGGGTGAGCAGTGTTTGCAGACCGCAACAGCATTGCGGCACCACGCATCATTGATGTAAACACAAAACCCGCCGCCGCAGGACTTACCTCCCTCGACGAGAACTCTGTCCGCTCGATAGCATGTTAGCTGATCGAGATGAATAGCGCAGTCCGGAACGCTGTTGCTGAGCCATGTTTCCGTGAACACAAAAACACAACAGTCTCTTACAGTCCTCTGAGTTGAGCGTAGTAGTCGGATGAAGTCCAGTTTATTATCCAAAGAGCGTACGTTAGCCAGTACGATGGTGGGGATAGCTGGCTTGTGTGGGTTAGCCGCTAGCCTAGCCCGGATACCTCCGCGCTTACCCCTCTTCTGCTTCCTGTCGCGCCGCTTGTGGCGCTTCCGCTGTGGGCGAGGTGCAGCAGTGGGTCGGTGATGTTGTAGGCCTCCGGAGCAGACCGAGGTCGCGCAGCTCTTCGGCTTGTGCGGAGTTTAGCTCTAAAAATGTGGTTCTACCGACATCGAGCAGAAACTCATGACTGTATGCGCGCTTAGAGACAGATAGACATGACGAATACGTACAAAAACACTGCGACTCACAAGATAAAAAACACGGAAACACCGTTCTGTCGGGAGAGAGAGAAGCCGCAGCTTGTGCATGCGCCGCCATCTTGGGAACACATTCGAACAGGAGAGGCGGAGCCAGGGGAATCGGAGGACCAAGGTAGAGTCGGTGTGACTGAGGACAATGCTGAGCCAAAAGGATTGAAGACCTTCCAGAGCCAGGAGATGTTGTGGTGAAACTGGAGGACTGGGGAGAACCGGCGGAGCAAGAGCAAGAGGGGGAGTCATGGTAGCTAATGAAGAAGCTCCTGGTGGAAGAGGATAGGACTTGTGAGTCATTCGTGCTGCTTGGGGTCCTTGGCAGGTGTGTGCACAGCCTCAAAGTCTGTGGCAGGCATGTGCTCATCCTCGGGCTCAGTATTAAAAAATTTCAATTCAGGGACTGGAACAGACTCTTGTATGAGCTCTGGGGCTGAAGCGGATACTGGGAGGTTAGGATCCTCAACTTTACCCATGGTGAAGAGGATCCACTCAGCTGTAGAGCCAGCTCCACAAAGGCACAAAATGTCTCTCAAAGACATAGAAAAAAACAGTTAGGGACCTGCCCAGGAAGTGCACAGAGTTTGCCAGGTGGAGGAACTCACGGGTGTGGTTTTCAAGGGATTGAGCATAGGTGAGGAGCAGGAGTGTTTCCACTGCTAGAGCCATAATATTTGGTCCCAGTGTTGGTGCCACGAGTGGGCCTGAGGAATGCGATTTCTACCGATGGGCACCGGAAAGCCCGGAACGCGATTTCTACCAAGGCCCCCTCTAGAAACGCAAATGTTTGGTTTAGGCTTTACCCTACACAGGTCAGACTATATATTTATGTGACTGAAGTATAACCTGTTTATTTGTGTGTAGCGGAGGTGACGTGTGCGCCTAACCAGTTCCAGTGCACTATAACCAAACGGTGTATCCCGCGCGTGTGGGTGTGTGACCGTGATAATGACTGCGTCGATGGATCCGACGAACCCGCCAACTGCAGTAAGTGGAAATTGTTGAAATTAAATTAAAAACTCATTATATACAAATTTGAATCAAAATGCAATGTACATTATCCATTGTCAAGCCTATTGACAGATAGAAGCAGGCATGGTTATGTTCTCAAAATGGCTAAATGTATCTGCTGATGTTATTGTTCGATCAGTCAGCATGTGTTGATATCAGTAGTTCAGTTCTTTCTTATGTCTCTCTCTCTGTAGCTCAGATGACGTGTGGTGTGGATGAGTTCCGCTGTAAAGACTCGGGCCGCTGTATCCCAGCTCGCTGGAAATGTGACGGAGAGGATGACTGTGGCGACTCTTCGGATGAACCCAAAGAGGAGTGCGGTGTGTTGATACACTCATATTTAAGACTAGCAACTGAGATTAAAACTTCTTGTAGTTTTGCTAATTAAAAATGAACATTTGAATTGAAACTTAAAGAGATGATTCACCCAGAAATGAAAATTGATGTCATTTACTCACCCTCATGTCATTCCAAACCTGTAAGACTTTGGTTCATCTTCGAAACACAAATTAAGATATTTTTAACCAGTACTTAGAGGATCCAAAAAGGTTATAAAGGGTTCATAAAACAAATTAATAGGAATTGAGTGAGCTTTATATGGTGAACAGATGTAATTCGGGCTTTTATTTACATTTAAATGATGAATGATCGACACACATACATAGAGCTCAAACATGCGTGAGTGATGCACAAGAACCAATGAGGTTTGTTCTAGCACGTGACGCATGCACAAGCTTCCACATTTACCATATGTGATTCACTCTGTTTTTCATGTTAATGTGCATATTACGTTAATACACACAAGGCAAGGCAAGTTTATTTATATAGCACATTTCATACACAATGGTAATTCAAAGTGCTTTACATAAAAGTAATTAAAATAATCACAAAAAAATCACATTAATAAAAGCAAGGAATTTAATTTTAAAATGATTTAAAAGCGGCACACAAGCCAAAGTTAAATCTGTGCATCATATAAAGTGATCATATCTCGCGTGGAATAAACCACTCAATTCATATGGCTTTGCTTTGTGATGCCTTTATGAGCTTTTTGAATCTTCTAAGTTTTGGTTACCTGGACTTTCAGTGGAGGGACAGAAACCTCTTGGGTTTCATTGAAAAATATATTTTTTTGATAATTTGATATCAAAGATTAACAAAATTGTTATGAGTTTGGAATGACATGAGGGTGAGTAAAATGATGAGAGAATTAGAATTTTTGGATTAACTTGACTTTTCCCTTAACTTTTAAAATGTCAGCGTTTCTATAATTTAGAGTCATTTTAGACCCCGCCGCTGAAGAATTAAAGTGCATTAATATTGTGACTGTATATGCAGATGAGAGGACGTGTGAGCCATATCAGTTCCGCTGTAAAAACAACCGCTGTGTTCCCGGCCGCTGGCAGTGTGACTATGACAATGACTGCGGGGATAACTCGGACGAGGACAAGTGTGGTAGGTTTCCACCGTCCGCTGCAGCATCTGAACGCTGAGACTGCACGGGTCCGGACGAATATCAGGCACACACACATCCAGAGACACGCTTCACCTTACATCACAGCAATGACAGCAGGTACAGAGCGTTCTGAAAGCAAGGCCCTGCTGAAATGAGCCGAAAAACCTGATCATTGTCATTCTCATTTATTTGTTCATGGGCACACTTTAGTGAACAAGAGAACTTTTTTTTTCCTTTGTGCATGTTTTTGTTTTGTCTGGTCATTTACGTGTCTACATCTTGTTTATTCTTCATTTCACACTGCCACATTGATGTGGGTTAGAGGTAGGTTTCCATTTTCAAATGTCCACTTCAGTCCTGAACTTCTGCTTCAATGGCTGCTCGCTGATGACACTGGAAGGCTTGAATGTTCCTTTTTGTTTCACTATGCATGAAAAACCGAAAGTATCATTGACAGTCTTTGAAACTAAATGGTTAATGAAGATATAATGATGATGGTCAGTGATTAATAATGAGCCTTTTCCAGTGCTCAGCAGCTAGCAACTGTGAAGCCTATTCCTGTAGTTTTTGAGCAGTTATTGATTGAATTAGAATTTTTTGCTTGCTGCTCCCAAACACCCAAACCTCCATCCGTCTTTGTGCCTCTGGTTTGAGCTGTACACCCTTAACAATCATATTGCCTACAAACCCCTCCTTCTACAGCTGACGTGATCTAATGAGACTCTTCTGGGTGAATGTCAAGAAAAAAAATGTCCATGCCACATGTTACCATTACATTTGGTTTTTAGACAATTTTGCTTGTTTTTAGGGCCATTAAGATTTTTTTGCACCATGTCAATCATTTTTTAATGACAACGAAGTACATTTTCCTCCTAAACGTCTCATTGTAATTTTTTCCAGACTTTTACTTTTTAGTTTGTTTGTAGTTCCTGCTATTATCAGTGGCAATTATTTTTAACTTAATGAGCCTAAATTATAAACTATACATGAAATTCTACAATAATGTGCACTACTTTTTAAAAAAATTAATTAATACATTTATTCAAAAACGATGCATTAAAGTAATCAATCGAATAGGAAGACATGTATGCATTTTATGCAGTTTTTTAATTTTCTATTTATATAAAAAAAAAATCTTAATAAAAGTATATCATCGTTTCCAAATATATATATATATACAGTGGGTACGGAAAGTATTCAGACCCCCTTAAATTTTTCACTCTTTGTTATATTGCAGCCATTTGCTAAAATCATTTAAGTTAATTTTTTTTCCTCATTAATGTACACACAGCACCCCATATGTCAACAATTCTGTGTTTTTCTGTCAATATGGGGTGCTGTGTGTACATTAATGAGGAAAAAAAATTAACTTAAATGATTTTAGCAAATGGCTGCAATATAACAAAGAGTGAAAAATTTAAGGGGGTCTGAATACCTTCCGTACCCACTGTATATATATGGAAATCAACATTGATAAGAAGACGAAATGTTATTAGAATGATTTCTGAAGGATCATGTGACACTGAAGACTGGAGTAATGATGCTGAAAATACAGCTTTGCATTGAAGGAGTAAATTACATTTTAAAATATATTACATTATATTATATAATAGAAAACTTATTTTACATTGAAATAATATATCACAATATTAATACACAATATTTCACAACATTATTGCTTTTACTCTGTTTTTGATCAAATAAATGCAGCCTTAGTGAGCAAAAGAGATTACTTTCAAAATCTTACCAACCCCAAACTTTTGAACAGTTGTGTATGAATACTTACAAATTCAATAAAACATGTTTTATTTAGTTATTTATACATTTATACATTAATGTGATGAGAATGAGATTTGTTTTTGTACTACAAATGAGAATTGGGATAACAATGTGCTTTATTGTCATAGACAGACAGACAGACAGACAGATAGATAGATAGATAGATAGATAGATAGATAGATAGATAGATAGATACAAATGGCATGATGTAAAAAAAAATCTTTACCCTATCATGTTTTATTAACTTCATGCTAAATATAAATATAATTTCTTTCTTTTGATTGTGTAGTGAAATGTGACCTGGACATGTTTTTGACTGGTTTTGTAAGATTCACCCTACTGTATTCTAAAATATGAACGGATATTGTTGAGATATGACCAGATGGTGTGTGTTTTGTGTCTGTGTCAGTGCCCAGGCAGTGCTCTGAGAGTGAGTTTGCCTGCACCAGCGGCCGCTGTATTGCTGGCAGATGGAAGTGTGATGGAGATCATGACTGCGCTGACGGATCTGACGAGGTAAGTCACAAAACCACTCATTCACACCTGCTTCAGGAAAACACCCACTTCAGCAGAATTTTCATCAATGATGACCCTCATAAATGGCAAATACTTATTGCAGTATGTACTGTGTGTGTGTGTGTGTATTTTGCAGCATGGCTGTGACGTGAAGTGTGATAACGACCAGTTTCAGTGTAAGAATGGTCACTGCATCCCGTTCCGCTGGAGGTGTGACGCTGATGCCGACTGCATGGATGGCAGTGACGAGGAGAACTGCGCCATCGGAGGTTAAAAACACACGCAAAAACATCTTAAAGACATAGGGTCCTATTTTAATGATCTAAGCGCAAGATCTAAAGCGCACGGCGCAAGTGCACTTAGGGCGTGTCCAAATCCACTTTTGCTAGTTTAACGACGGGAAAAACGGTCGGCGCGCCCGGCTCATGGTCTAAAAGGGTTGTCCCTATTCTCTTAATAAAAAACACTTGCGTCGCGCCTGGCGCTGCATTGCACCGGGTGTATAATAGCGCCCATAGTTACATTACATTCATTATTAAAGCAATAGTTCACCCCAAAATTAAAATTTGCTGAAAATATACTCACCCTCAGGCCATCCAAGATGAGTTTGTTTCTTCAGATTTGGAGAAATTTTGCATTAAATGACTTGCTCAGCAATGGATGCTCTGCAGTGAATGGGTTCCGTCAGAATGAGAGTCCAAACAGCTGATAAAAACATCACAATAATCCACAAGTAATCCACACCACTCCAGTCCATCAGTTAATGTCTTGAGAAGTGAAAAGCTGCTTGTATGAAATAAATCCATCATTAAGGCATTTAGGCCAAAATGTTAGCCAAAATATGAGTCCATAATTCATAATATTGCTTTCTCCAGGGGAAAAGTCCATCCCCTGAAGTCCTTCAGATTCACCAACAAATTTGTTTAGAACTGTTTTGGGCTGTTTTTGTTTGTAAACGGTGCTTGATCTGTGCATATTTCTCTCCTGGTTCAGACAAGACAATATTTCACTGGAGAAAGCAATATTATGGAGAGAGGACTTGTATTTTAGCCAGACACAGTGGTTTAAAGTTAAAAACATCTTAATGATGGATTTGTTTCTTACAAACATGCAGCTTTTCACTTCTCAAGATGTTAACTGATGGACTGGAGTGGTGTGGATTGCTTGTGGATTATTGTGATGTTTTTATCAGCTGTTTGGACTCTCATTCTGACGGCACCCATTCACTGCAGAGCATCCAATGGCAAATTTCTTCAAATCTGTTCTGATGAAGAAACAAACTTATCTACATCTTGGATGGTCTGAAGGTGAGTGAATTTTAAGCAAGTTTCCTTGTTTGGGTGAACAATTCCTTTCACTTTGTTTGCTTTAGACAATTTTCTTATAGCTCTTTTCTAATGATAATTTATAGTGACCACATATCCATAAAAGAAGTCCATACGATTTGTGCACTATATTACATATCTTCTAAAGTCATACAAAATAGCTTTGTGTGAGGAACAGACAAAAAAGTCATTATTTGCTAATCTTAGCCCGCATTCTTGTCTAGATTCTATCTACATACATATGTGTAGTTAACACAAGGTGAAGTGGTTAACTTTCAATTTGAAATGTAGGGCATAAGTTGTATGGGCTACGTTTATGGTACTTTTGGTTTGGGGTAAGTAAATAATGACAGAATTTCTATTTATGGTTGAACTGTTCCTTTAAACAACAGCATTTCCCGTAAACCAGTGCCTGCAGTATTAATTAGAGTCATCAGACTCTCTGGAGAGGGTTTTAGTATTCAAGGAGGTCTTTCTGAAGATGCGCTGCCAAGTGTTTTACACACACACACACACACACACACACACACACACACACACACATTCACAATAATTGCTGTGCGGCTGTGCTGGAATGAATACAAATGAGTTACCCTCTCTCTCTGTGTGTGTGTGTGTAGTGGGTCGATTCTGCCCTCTGGATGAGTTTCAGTGTAATAACACTCTGTGTAAGCCGCTGGGCTGGATGTGTGACGGCGAGGACGACTGTGGAGACAATTCAGATGAGAACCCAGACGTGTGCAGTGAGTAGTTCATTATTTTTTTTTATCCAGCTCAATTAGCACTTCATTTTCCCCTCAGACTCGCTCCTAAATATTTCCCAGAACTTTGGCACATGCAAGTGCATTAGGGGTGGACAATATGACCCAAATCTTGCATCAGGCTTTTGTTATTTTGTATAACATTAAAACATGTTTTGCGGGAAATTAAAACCAAGGTGATTTGTATATTAAATCCCCGATCTGCCAATGCCTGTTTTTGAATAATTCAGCGATTTAAACACTTCACAAATGAAAGATATTTTGCATAGTTTGATCATGATGATTTTGAATCTAAGTTCTGATTGGATTCTGATGCGCATCAGTGTCAGAATTCTACTGTATATGAATTTGACTTCATGTTAGCGCTTTCTTTGTTTTGACCTATTTGGGATGGGTTCTGCTCAGATTTTTTGACATTTTCATGTTTCTTCATTGTAAATAATTTAATGGAATCCTGCCCACTGTGCACTGTAAATATTTAGGAATATAAGCCTTATGTTTCGGACATTAAACAGATTCTTTCCTGGATGCTGGTCAATATAGAATTGCAAGTGTAATTAAATACACACTATAGTAACAGTTATGACACAAGCCACCTGTTCACCATATTACTGCACTGCACCCTTTAACCTCTGTGTGTACGTGTCAGGGACTTTATCTTTTGCATTCAGCGTGAATATTGCAACCTGTTAATGTGGGTGTGAAAAGAAGTGTGAAACAGGCCTTAGGATTCTTCATTTGCATTAGCAGCGCAGCTTCATTTACATCAGGAGCGTAGGTTAATTTACTGTGTTAGTAGCAAACTGTTCCACAAACTTTTGAATGTTTGGGGTTCAGTCTGACTCTGCTGTTGAAATCGTCTGAAATTTCACATCAAGAGAGTTTGGGTGTTTTTATTCTGTGTGTGTTTCAGAGAGATTCCAGTGTCCTCCCAGCAGACAGTTCCGCTGCCATAATGACCGAGTGTGTCTGCCAGTGTCTAAACAATGTGACGGCGTTGACAACTGCGGAGACAACAGTGATGAACTCAACTGCCGTGAGTGATTCACTTTCTTGGCTGATTTATTTCAAAATGTCGTGGGTTTTTTTGCATGTCATTTTTGCCTGTGCCATTACGCTAAAAGTAAATTTTCATGGGCCATTTCTTACTGAAGATATTATTATATACATATGTTTATATGTTTGTTTGCTGAACTTTCAGGAAATAACCATCATAGATATTGAGGGACCCCTTCCCCTAAATATGTGGTTACAGCCAATAGTTATTTATCATTACTAACACTAACCCTAATGCTTTACATATTTTCAACTCTGTCACAGTACTTTCAGTATGGAATTCATATACTGTACATATTATTTGAATAATAACTCCGATAACTGAAACGTAAATTCTGGTAGTAACACTATCCCCTATATATGTTGGGTTTTATAATTGAAGAAATATCAATAACCCATGGACTTTCTTTCAAAACATGTTTTCAATTACATGTTTTTGGGGTTGAATCTTAAATGTCACAGAGTTGAAGATCAGTGCAAAAATTGTCCTGCACCACACCAGTCACAGTCAGGGGCGCCGCTAAGTGGGGGAGTTAGGACGATTCTAAGGGCCCACGCACTTTTGGGGCCCCCAGAGAACTGTTTTATTAGTAGTAACAGTAGTAGTAGTAATGTAATAGAAATTATAAATGTATCTACCAAAGAGTTACAAATAAAACAAAATTACGGCTTATTTAAGTTCGAGGGGGGCAAACCGAGCCGGACGATTTGATCAGTCGCACTTTTAAACACATTTTAGTTTTGCTATATAAAATCTACAAATTCACACTCTGATTACACAGAGCAGCAGCAGGAAGTATACCAAATACACTCCACGCGAATTACGCTTCTATTTTGCCACACTAAACTTAGCAATAAACACGTTTAAA